CACACACACACACACACACACACACACACACACACACACACACACACACACACACACACACACACACACACACACACACACACACACACACACACCATGTGCACAGTCACCCACACACAACACATGCTGCATTTGTGATCCATTCCTCTGCTGAACAGGCAATGGAAACTTCTGCAAATGTAAATCTGCTGGGTTAAAAATACAGCGCATTAATGTGCACCACATGTGGCACTCTGGCAGGATGGAGGATATTTTGACGGCAGGGGGAGAGAAGGGAGGGAGGGAGGGAGGAGGCAGTCCTGGGGTTTCTCCAACAACGGAGAGGGAGACACACACACACACACACACACACACACAGCTGCGCTCAGAGTCCAGAACTCCTCCTATTTTACCTTGAGCCTTCTCCACGAACACCACCTTGGAGTCGTGCTGGAAGTTGTGTCCGTCGATGAGCATCCTCTCCCCCCCCGTGGGCAGGACACGTCTCCAAGCTCCGCTTGTCCACCAGCGGCAGCTCCTGGGCCGATCTCTGGGCTGTGAGAGGGAGAGAGGGAGAGAGAGAGAGAGAGAGGACGGCCTCATCGTTCAGCTAACACACACACACACACACACACACACACACACACACACCCACTCCCCATGCAGACCTGAGCATCCAGGCCCAGGCTGAATCACAGTCAGCACGGCTGCAACAGCCTCCACCTCTTTATGTCAGAGTTAAGCTGACTTTGCCAGGAAGCAAAGAGAGGCTCCATGTTGTGTTTATTTGTATTTTCCCTCAAATTATGGTGGATGACTTAGTCTCACATAATGACTTTAAGAGTATCTTTTTTTCTTCTTCTTATTCTTCTCTTTCTCCCCTTTTGGCTTCTCATTCCTTGCTTACTTTCAGTTTTTCTGAAATGATCTATCAGCTGCGAAAATACCTGCAAACGTTTTCCGTCTAAATGTAACGCCGATGTCTCGGGCAGCCTTCTCTTGTGAAATATAGCTGTAATGTCATCGCGATTGACCGGGATACATAAATAGCGATTCAGTGAAACCCGAGTATTCTCCTCACATGAGGACCATCTTTGTGTAATTTGATTCTACCCGCGCTCTGATTTTGATAAAACTCTAATTCTCTGTGTTTGGAAACCATCAATCGTCCCCACATCTCTCCGCTTCGTTCTGCCTCACTCACACACAGAGGGAATTTGTCAGAAACAATTGCTTTGTGGCAGTTGTTCAGAAACTGACAATGGTCTATTTCAAGGGGCTGAGATCATGGTTTAACTACTGTCTTTCATTTACCTCATAAGACTTAATCTCTATGGCAGCTCTCACTGCCAGGAACCACATGAAGTGGTTGATGTGCCGGAGTTTATCCCGCTCCAGTGAAAAAGGTCAACTCTGGTGCAGCGCAGAGTCGATAGAGTTTATCGAGCAAGGCCTACATTGACTTTCCACGGAACGAACACTGTCGAGTTCAAATGTAGCTCACTATCACATGCACCAGTATTTACAATGCTGCATGTAATGATGACTATTTCACTTGGTTATTCTAGTGTTTTGTTCATGCACTAGTCTTTCTCTCTGACGCGTGGAAAGAAAACATCCAAAATACACATTCAGGTGTTTATTTTACTGCTTTGTCTATTTGCATCTTAAGATTTCTCCTAAATTCGCCAACATTTAGCATTAGACAATGTCTCATTTGCATATTGTATAAGATCTCAGAAAACTTGACCCGATTCACCTGTAGTGCCTTCCAAATGTATGACATTTTAAAATACATTATCTTTCTCTAAATTCTTGTTCTCAGATCATCATCGGGTCATCATCGTGAATACAGCCTCGATCAGGTGCCACGTGGGGTTAATTACCAATGAAATCTGTGCAGCGATGACTGGTCTTGTTGCAGTATTTAGTCTCTCCCGCAATGATTGAGACGATAAACACGGGATCTCGTCAACAGAGACAGCAAATGCCGACCGGAAGGATTTGTTGTTGACAGTGTAGCACGATCGGGTAAAAAATAGGCTGCCTCCCCTGGTCGTGTCGATAGAAAGTTTACCTAGCAACATTAATGCTACCATAAAGGCATTAATAAATATATGAAAAATGTAAAAGGCATTAGATAAACATAAAGAAGATACATTTATAAACAATGTTCTATACATATCTAAATAGGGGTTCGATAAATATATGAAAGCCATTAAATAAATATTAGATAAATATATAAAAGGACTGAGGAGTGACATTTTTTAAGAACAAATAGGAGATGAACTCACAGCACTCAATGGGGTTGGATGAAACCTGCAAGGACACCGTTCTCCCCGTGGCCTGGTTGATGTGAACTCTGAAAACCATCCTCACGCGCGTGTTCTTGCGCCCGATGTCCGTCTCCCCCTTCCTCAGCTCGATGTCTGAGTTGCGCAGCTTCAAGATCCCCGCGCAGTCGACTCTGTGTTTTGTGAAGAGACAAAAGAAGGAGAGTTTGCCAAAGTCTGTCAGTCCACCAGGCAAATTATCACGTGCATTAACGACATATACGCTCTCACAGTTAATCAGGCCGTGATTGATTCAGTATTGCAGCCAAATCAAAAGGGATTTCTTAAGCTCTGGACTCCAACAGCGCAGCCCTGACAGAAGATTAACACCACCACCCCCGAGCAAGCTTTTTCACCTCAGTGAATCCACTCTTGGGTGAAATTCAAATCCTACAGAAACAACATTCATCACGCGAGGAATATCTTTGTTATGGCCCACAAGAGACGGCTGCTGAAATACTGTTTTCCTTCCACAAATCTTACAGCCACCGAAATGGCTGTAATGATTTCTTTAACAGTGTCAGAGTCTTCATCAGACACTTAATAAAAGCCCCCCATCCTCCTCCTCCTCCTCTTCCCTCTCTGTCTGCACTTCACCCATCTAACTGTTTCACACTTAAATACCTCGAGCCTCTCCAAAAAACGCTTTCTGGCTTTTTCCATCGCCGAGCTACTCGATGCTGCATTCCTCAAAGCCTAGTAAATGTCAACTTTTACACACATTTGAACACTCCCTAACATTCCTCTCGCCAGACGCCGGGGTCCGGCGAAGTAATCAGGTGTTGATGCTCAGGACCCCAGCTGTTCAGCTCTCCGCCTACGCAGGCAAGCTGAGTGCAAAAGCACAAACTGAGGCGTCCCCGCTCGGTGCCCGAGACAGAGTTTGAGAAAGAAATGCTATCATTGTGTTTATTAATTAAGAGTTAATTGGAGGCATACCAAGTTGACCGACCGTTTGTGGCTTCATGTTAGCTAACTGATGGTGATTAATCATTTAATCCCCCCCCCACTGAATCATCGTGAATAACTATTTCAGAAATATAATAATGTCTGTCTCTGTACCACATTAAAAATGTCACACACGTCAAAAGGAATAAATCTCCCACAAATCCCTCGCTATCTCTGTGAGCACTCCGATGCGTGTCCCCCGTGAAAAGAGAGAAACCGTATCCCGAGGTGAAGGCGTTGCGTAAGGAGAGCTTTACATCCATTAAAACGCAGAGAAAGTGCTGATGCTAGCAGGCTGCTGCTGCCTGCAGCTCAGACAGAAACTCCTGTGAGCAGCCCAGAGCTTCCCCAGTAATCTGATCTCTGAGGCTAATAAAATGGGAAAGCCATATGCAACACTTTCTCAACCCAAACAGGCGCACACACAGAATACTGAACGTCATATCTCCAGATTGTTACTTTGTTTTACAGAAAATGTGTTTGATTTCTGGGCAGAAACGGAATATAATATTCAAAACTATTCATCAGTGTGAAATGACCTGAAACTAAAACGTGGTGTGTTTTGTCTAGCTCAGAATGAGCTGTTTGTATCTACACAGAGTTCGCCATGTTGCACCGCCATGTTTCTACAGTAGCCCAGAAAGGACAACCGAACACTGGCTCTTGAGAGACCCGTTAACGTTTTTACATTACCCGAAGGCCCCCGTAGATCTCCGACACGCTTGTGAAACTGCAGTTTGAGTAATGTTGCTCCTAAAGTAGCGTTATCTTGGTAATGATGGTCTCAGAGGGAGGCGGACTGCGTTGCACTCGAGGAGTTGCTGTCTACAGCTACACAGCTAGATACCATCCAAACCCTGCACACTGTCCCTTCGGGTCCAGTCTCAAGGCAGTTTAGGCGAGTCAAGTCTATGTTAACAAAGTTATGACTAATTACTTATGCAGACTTTTGACTTCATCTTGATTTTTTGCAACCAGTGAACAGAATGGACCATATTACCTCAGACATTCTCCGTCACTCGCCACCTTCAAAACTGCACTTAAAACTCACCTATTTAAATCTGCTTTTCACCTCTAAAGTCAGTCATGTATGTTTTCTTTCTCTTCGTGTTTATTTTTCATTTTCTTCTTCTTACCGTTATGTTGTAGATTTTGTTTTTATTATAAATGCTTTTATTGTTTCTGTTTTTAACATGTAAAGTGTCTTTGAGTGCCTTTTAAAGCGCTATATAAATAAAATGTATTATTATTATTATTATTATATTAGGAGTGCGGAGGTGTGACGAAGCGATGCCGTATACGGCTCCGTTAGCGACCTGTCAATCACAAGGTAGCCCCGCCCTAAAGCATGCCCTGCTTTACGGCCTAGTTGACTCTAAATGGGACGAATGGGAAGTAGAGTCATTTTCTCATAGACTTCTATACAATCTGACTTCTTTCTGTAACCAGAGGAGTCGCCCCCTGCTGGCCAGTAGAGAGAATGCAGGTGTCAGACACTTCCACATTGGCTTCTCTGTTTAGAACCAGAACCAGATGTGATCTCGACAAGATTCCAAACCTGACTTGGACTCATCTAAAAGGACTCGAGACTTGACGTGGACTTTCAAGTCATTTAGGACTTTCAAGTTATATAAGAAAACTCCATGTCGATACTTTAATGAATCGAGACATGAAGTCCTAAACAAGTCTAAAATTTTGTGAGATGCGACTTTGACTCTCCCCAAAAGACTAAGAAATAACCCTAGCTCCAGTTTAATCCCCCCATCTACCTCCTGTAGACGCCTCTCTGAGTGGGTACAGCCCCTGATACTCACATGGCCCGCATGTTGTTCTCTGGCAGCAGTGGGATCTCCAGGATCTTGGTGTTGTTGTTGTGCAGGGCTTCGTGGCTCGGAGTGGACACAGTCTTCCCGGTGATGCGGTGGACCTGGTAGAAGGCGTGGGGCCTCAGCAGCCTGTCGTCAGCCGTGCCGATGAACAGCTGCAGGGTCAGAGGCTCGCTCTCCATGTAGCCGTGGAGCTGAGAGAGCAGAGACAAGAGGTAAAGACACAGTTGCGGTTAAGCCCTCACGTCATCTCCAAAAAACAAAAAAAACACTTCCACTTGCATGCCGTTAAGGAAGACGTAGGTCTTTCAGAGGTCAGGCCCTCAGTGCGATGGTTTTCAAACAAAGCACCCATTTAGGATCTTGTAATCACCTATTTCATCAATGGCCCGTGTACACTTCCTCCATCAGTTAATGTCAGGCCTGCCAAGATGTTGATTCTTCAGTAGCTGAACCTCAGCGGCAGTAAAAGCCACCCACAGCGAGCGGTGTTGTGATTTGTGACAAGACTAAGAGAGTGTTTCAGAAAAGTCTAAGTCGTGTCAGTCCCACCGAGCCCCGGCCAATCAAGGTCAAGGAAAACTCTGCTGCTCTGATTATTATCAGTAAAAGGATCCCGCCACGACGGAGTTGGAGATGGCACAGAAGTGCTGCTCGCCGTGGCTGGCGGGCTCGACCCAGAGCTTCTAAAGCACTCCCAGACCTCCATAGGTGTTGCTTGACGGGAGGCCTCCTGTCACGATGACCTCAACCAGCCAAACCGCAGGGTGCAGGCACGAAGCCCAAACCCACAGACCGAAACCTGAGCAGAGCAGCGACCACTGGCACGCTGTGTGAGAGCCATGTATGTTACCCATACGGTGCAGACAGGAATGAGAGCAGAATACTTGACATTTTGACGTCAAAACAATTGAAAGAAGCACACATTGTACATAACAAATTAAAAGGGGCAAAAAATAGGAATGTACTACATAATATAATTCATCAAATGTATCGATTAACAACGTGTTCATATCTAATGTCATTTGAGATGGAAGAGCTTATTCTGTTTTCACATCGTTCTTGTTTAAATAAAACGTCCTCAATCAACCCGGTATGTGAATAAAGATGTACGTTTTTACCGAAGAGATTAAATTCCAACATCTTCCGCTTCCAACACTATAAATACTGTATGTTTTTTTGGTGTTTTAGACCATTCCATGATAAAGACTGATGCAATAATAATATATTCATAATTATTTTAAAAACATAATGCTTTAGTTTTAGTTTCAGTCTAAAATTTCAGGTTATTGGGGATAAAAAAGTAAATTTTTCATTCCCAATCAGTCCATGAGGCTGAATAAGAGAAACTGCTATTGTTGGCCTGTCTGGGTAACGTAATATTAGTGTTCCATCTATGAGAATTTAATGTTCAAATGAATGCAATAATAAACTCTACTTAATTACAAAACATAGGGAACAGTATTCTTACTGTATCGTTAGCTATAGCGTAGGCCTACAAAAATAAAACTGAACTAATCTGGCCTTCTGAGTCAAAACGTGCGCGCGCGTCACCATCCACGTACCAAAGCTTAACAGAGGCAGATGTAGGACGAGATTGTCAGCCGAAGCGAGCGACAGGGAAATGCTGAAGTGACGAAATGAAGCTTGCGCTCGCGTAGGGAGAGAGCACTCGAGGAGAAGAGCGCCCACAACAAGAGTGAAAGGCCCAGACCGGTGGGAGGCACAACATGTGATTTGGAGGAGGATCCCGGTCGGGGTTAAGAGCCTGCAACAGCCTCGTGTATTTGTGTAAGGAAATGGGGTTGCTGCCTAGCAATGCTGTTTATTTAGGCAGCAGGAAGTAGAGTGATGAAGCGAGGAAGCCCGCTCACACGGTTACTCTCAAAACAGTGACTACAAACAGATTGCTGATTATCTGCTTTGAATTATTATCAGCACGGCATTCTAAGCAAATAGAGATAATCACAGTTGATAAATGTCCTCTGAACGATTTCAGCTGCTTTTTTTGATCGTTTCCAAAAAACTTCAAAAAGATTGCCTCTGTGGAGACGTCTGTGCTCACTTCAGCATTACCGTCTATCATTTTAAGACGTAATATTATCTCAGTGGCAACCCTGAAATCAGGAAACCTTTCTGCTCTGAATCCTATTTTTCACAAAGCAGCTGCAGCAGACAACAGTTGTGATTTGTCGATGCAATTAAATCAGCCCGATACCACTTCATGTGAAGCCTCCTTGGCAGTTTGACGTTGACCAAAGCAGCCTTCACTCCCTAGTTCAGATTATCACTCACAAGAGGAATGCCGAGACTGCGGCTGCTCAAGGCACCAGAGAGGAGGACAGAGGGGTGAGGGCGACCGGGGCTCCCTCTCCGCTCCTATCATAGACCCTCCCAGAAGGATGATAACACACACAAATGCATTTATATACAGTATATGGACTTTGTCGAGAGAGAGAGAGGTAGCTCAGTTTGACGGGCAATTCATCCTGTCACGCTTTTTGCTTCACATGATTTTCATTAATGACACTTGGAAATCTAAATCTGAGCGAGGCCAAGAAAAGGCGCATGACTCCTGAGTATTAATCTACAAAAATGCGCAAGAAAACAGCTGTTTTCTCAAGCAATGGGCCGATCGTGAAAGGTGGGGGGAAAAAAACGAAGACCTGAATAGGGGTATTTCCTCTCCACCAAAGTGCAGCATGAAAGTCTGAGCATTAAATGCGGTGAGGACTGCACACAGCACTCCGAAGGGGCATACTTCAGTCTGCTTGCTGGCGGGCGTGGTTGAGGGGAGCAGCGGTGATGGCGTTGAGAAAGAACAGAAAATAGCCGGCTTAGCCGCGCTGGATGCTGGACATGGAGGGGGAAAAAGAAAAAGAAAAAAAGTGTACCACACAGAACAGGAGCTTCCAGAATAAACTCAGGGCAGGGTTTTGAGTCAGAGGGGCGGCTTCGTCAGCCAGCGTCCAGCACAGCAGAGGCTCGCAGCGCCGTGTGCACCATGTAATCAGGAAGTCACAAGAGATGGGGGCCGCCTTGTTCAAAGGCTCCCTCAAACATCTCAATCGGAGCCTGCCAGAAACGTGTGTGGTTTTGAGTATGCTGCTGCTGCCGCCTCCGCGGGACGCAGCGCGCGATGATGTCAGCCGCACACACGGGGAACTTTCCTAAACAAAGGGAAGTCTGTGTGGTTGGGCTTGGTAGCTGGCAGAAAAGCAAGGGGGGAGGTTTGGGTTTAAAAGAGAACACACACTCTGTTTTTTGGCCAGGGTGAACCCAGACCCCTGTCATTAAATCATTAGCACCTTCTCATAGACAAACACGGCCTCGTCCTGTACACATGTGTGGCTGGAGGTGCAACGCACTGGATGGTGCAGCATGTGCTGGTTTCTAACTGTCATATTTCACAACTGCATACAAAAGGAGATTATTACACTTATATGTTTTTCCCAAGATCTTCCTGGAGCTGTCTCATCCGGACCGAGCATTTATTATCAGCCATTTTAGCTCATCACACTGACACTGTACACTGTATAAATGTTATTGATGTGAATTGATAACAGTGTTGCCATACCATACTGTGGTTTGTCCACCAGACAGACAGGACTGACTTTTCTAGTCTACAATGTGCTGCACAAGTCTTCAATAACAAATTTAAGGGATCCTTTTCAAAAATGTTTGTTTAGGTTATGCGTTTGTGTGAAAAGAACAAGCATCAACCAAAAGATTATTTTACTCAATAAAATTATCATACACACACACATACATACATACATACATACATACATACATATGTATACATATATACATACATACATGTGAGCAACCGCAGAGTAACATTTGACGAATAGAAGTTGAATATTCACTCTCCTTTAAACTCTTTTGGTTTTCACTAATCTGTCTCTTTAGCTGCTAAATGCTCCACCATGTTCGCTAGCCAGTCGCTAACTATATCTCTCTGGCGTAGAGTGCTAGGTAGAGTAGCAGTATACTCTTGTGAGTTTAGTTAAGTTTGTCACTTTCTTAACTTACTCAAAATCTGCTCATAATTAGTAAGTAATATAGAATTGGTACACAGCTGTTTGTCCTTAAAATGGCTGCTTAGCATGATTAGCATACCCCATTCAAAATAAAGGGGCATGATTAGCGATCTGCTACGTACGCTGAAAAGACATTTTTGTTAAAAGTGAAGGGCAAACAGAAAACTCTGGCCCATATCTGACGAATGTCTGGCTAACTTGTAGAGTTATTGCAATGAATTAATAAAATGTCAAAAGGTATTAATTAAACGGAGAGCTCACTGCTCACTTTGTCCGACTCCGTGCTGCAGACCCTTTATTTATTCACAGACTGAGGTCCGCCGTGTGGAGTAATGGTCGGGAGACCAGATGGGTTTAAAACCAAAACATATCTGCAGTTGTCCACATTTTTTTGTTCTCCTTTAGACTCGACCACCAGAGCTACTGCGGTCAAAGCACATGACTAAGCTCTTACTGGCCATGCTACATCACTTTGTATCTGTCTGCGCTGCACTCGACAAACGCAATGGAAAAGTCTGAGTCACCCTCGTCTGGACAGGAACTGACTGAGTGGACTGGCCTGCCTAATAGCATACCTACAGTTGTGTGAAAAAGTGTTTGCCCCCTTCCTGATTTCTTATTTTTTTGCATGTTTGTCACAATTAAATGTTTCAGATCATCAAACAAATTTAAATATTAGACAAAGATAACACAAGTAAACACAAAATGCAGTTTTTAAATTAAGGTTTTTATTATTAAGGGGAAAAAAAAAAATCCAAACCTACATGGCCCTGTGTGAAAAAGTGATTGCCCCCCCCCTGTTAAAACATAAATTAACTGTGGTTTATCACATCTTTGGAAAGCTGAGTTCAATTTCTCTAGCCACACCCAGGCCTGATTACTGCCACACCTGTTCTCAATCAAGAAATCACTTAAATAGGACCTGCCTGACAAAGTGAGGTAGACCAAAAGATCCTCAAAAGCTAGACATCATGCTGCGATCCAAAGAAACTCAGGAACAAATGAGAAACAAAGTAATTGAGATCTATCAGTCTGGAAAAGGTTACAAAGCCATTTCTAAAGCTTTGGGACTCCAGCGAACCACAGTGAGAGCCATTATCCACAAATGGCGAAAACATGGAACAGTGGTGAACCTTCCCAGGAGTGGCCGGCCGACCAAAATTACCCCAAGAGCGCAGCGACGACTCATCCAAGAGGTCACAAAAGACCCCAGAACAACATCCAAAGAACTGCAGGCCTCACTTGCCTCAATTAAGGTCAGTGTTCATGACTCCACCATAAGAAAGAGACTGGGCAAAAATGGCCTGCATGGCAGAGTTCCAAGATGAAAACCACTGCTGAGCAAAAAGAACATAAAGGCTCATCTCAGTTTTGCCAAAAAACATCTTGATGATCCCCAAGACTTTTGGGAAAATACTCTGTGGACTGACGAGACAAAAGTTGAACTTTTTGGAAGGTGTATGTCCCATTAGATCTGGCGTAAAAGTAACACGGCATTTCAGAAAAGGAACATCATACCAACAGTAAAATATGGTGGTGGTAGTGTGATGGTCTGGGGCTGTTTTGCTGCATCAGGACCTGGAAGACTTGCTGTGGTAAATGGAACCATGAATTCTGCTGTCTACCAAAAAATCCTGTAGGAGAATGTCCGGCCATCTGTTCATGACCTCAAGCTGAAGCGCACTTGGGTTCTGCAGCAGGACAATGATCCAAAACACACCAGCAAGTCCACCTCTGAATGGCTTAAGAAAAACAAAATGAAGACTTTGGAGTGGCCTAGTCAAAGTCCCGACCTGAATCCGATTGAGATGCTGTGGCATGACCTTAAAACGGCGGTTCATGCTCGAAAACCCTCCAATGTGGCTGAATTACAACAATTCTGCAAAGATGAGTGGGCCAAAATTCCTCTACAGCGCTGTAAAAGACTCATTGCCAGTTATCGCAAACGCTTGATTGCAGTTGTTGCTGCTAAGGGTGGCCCAACCAGTTATTAGGTTTAGGGGGCAATCACTTTTTCACACAGGGCCATGTAGGTTTGGATTTTTTTTCCCCCTTAATAATAAAAACCTTCATTTAAAAACTGCATTTTGTGTTTACTTGTGTTATCTTTGTCTAATATTTAAATTTGTTTGATGATCTGAAACATTTAAGTGTGACAAACATGCAAAAAAATAAGAAATCAGGAAGGGGGCAAACACTTTTTCACACAACTGTATGGTATTCCATTCAGAAATGTGACATCTTTGAATAACATAACAGCCAGGCTATGAAACACATGTCGCCCCAATCTATTTTAACACAAGAGGTTAAAAAAAAAAAGAAAACGGGGGGGTGGTAGTATCGAGAAGTGATGAGGTAAGGAGAAGGAGTGAAAATAGGTCTAATGGCTGCACCGTGTGTTGCTCTAATCATCACAGGAAACAGTCTAGTTCACTGGTTCTCAACATGGGGTTTGGGCCCCTGAGGGGGTCAGGGTATAACTCTGAGGAACCGCAAGATGATGAATGTGAAAACAATGTTTTTGTTAGAGTATTTTTGCTTTTTTTCTTGTGAAATACTGGATCATTTCAACTCTCAAAAGGCGAGTAAATCGAGAAGTATGCAACCTGCGATATGGCGCCAAGAGGGAGATGCTGCTTTGTTTGAAGACGTCACAAAACAATGAATTTAAGAAGCACTGGTTTGGCAGACCTGTACGACTGGGTGTCCTCCCCCCATGGCCTTCACCGCTCCCCTGCTGCCCTCCGTCTCGTAGTGGGCTCGGTGGTGGGACTTGGGCTGCACGTCGATCTGCAGGCTGTACGGTCCCGAGCTGGATGGCAGCTGCCAGTCGAGAGCGGGCAGGGATGGGCTGTCGGGGGACAAAACACGTCCAACATGACAACTTAGCGAGGAGGGCTTATTTTAGATGCGCTTATCAAGGTAGAATGTGCAGAATGTTAACACTGCGATATGCCAATGCTCGTGATAAAGCTGTTTGTTAAAACTAGCGTTTAGTTTATGCATGAACAAATTTTCATATCATTTCTCAATTGACAAAAAAATAGTGGACCAATTTTATTTTGATAAATCTTAAGCAGACCAAAAGTTGTCCCCCTCGGGCTTTATTTCAGGTTTGGACAGACCTTACTCTGGGTGGCAATCCTCATCTGTAACTCTTTATTTTCTTACCTGATATACTGCTTTGGCTTGGACCAGGAGTATGGGTGCTGTGGCACATCCAGGAACCCGCCACAGTAGCCCTCCTTCTTTAACGGCAGGCGGTTGGAGGGGTGCTTGTCCTGACAGAGCTCCCCTGAAATCAGCTCCTCGCCTCCCGGCTCAACCTTCAGGCTGACCGTGGGGCTGTGCTCCAGGCTGGTTTTACGGGCTTTGACGGGGATTCCCTCCCCGAGGTCAACCACCCCGTCTGTGGTCAGGGCGTTGATGGCCGCCAGGATGGCCGAGTTGGTGTACTGGTTGGTGTTCGGCAGCCAGGTCTCCTCTGTGATACTGAGGCGTGGGGAGGTCTGCGGGGACAGTCCGGGGGAGATGTTGGGCGAGCACGGGTAGTGCTTGTGCGATGCCCCGCTGCCGTTGAAGCTGTACTTCCTTTTTGCGCCGCACGGAGAGTTGGGCCTGGAGCCGCGCTGGCCTATCCAGGTGTCGTCTGTCACGCTCGTGCGCGGGGAGCTGGATGGGGAGTGGCGGGGGGAGCTGCCGGAGGTGCAGCCGTCGCCCGGCAGGGCGAGCGTGGAGCCCTTGGGCGACACGGAGGGTGACTGCCAGGGGGAGTTCTGGGGCGAGTTGTCGTAGTTGTAAGAGAAGCTCGATTCGTATGAGGAGGCGTCGGAGTGGCAGCTGCGAGACGAGATGCTGCTGGCCGGGCTCAGGCAGCTGGGGTCGCGGTAGCTGTCGGCGCTGGGGAGGGTCAGCGTCACTATGGAGTTGAGTCGCTTGGCAACGGGGAGGTTGCTCTCCTCCACCTCGTCCTCGGGAAACTGACCATAGGCGGTGATCTCGATGCGAGGGCTCTCCAGGGTCGGGGCCCCGTTCGGGCGGGAGGATGAATAGTAGCCGGCCGCTCTCATGTCGTCCTGGGCATCGTAACCGTGAGGCTCAGAGACGGATATGGTGGGGCTGGATTGGAGGCTTTGGTACTGGGAGGGAAGACATGGGTTGCCCAGTGGGAGGGAGAGACTGACGTTTGGTGTGTAGCCATATGCCTCTGGAATACAAACACACTTTGTTACCATGATAATCAAACACACATTCCCTTTCTGAGTGGGAGGCAGTTGCCAAGTTGAGTCTTATGAGAGCTGCTGCGGAGCAGAGGTGTCCACCATCATGGCAGAGTAACGGCTCTCTAACCAGATTTTGCCTGAGCTATTTCCCAGATGCATGCAAGTTAAAACTTAACACCTCATCTAATGGGGATCCCTGAACGCACTAAGGCCAGTGACACAAAAACAACTGAGTGGCTCAAATTATTAAAAGGTGGGTGTCGCCAATAAAGGTGCCAAAAATAACCCCAGTCTAAAAATAACCAAAGGCCAAACCAGGTGGGTTTTTTTCCACTCCACATTGCCAGATTTATGCCACTTAATGCACATGCTGCGGCCCATAAAGAGTAACAGGAACGAAAACACACACTTAATGCTTTTGTTGGCGAGTTTCGTGTTCCTACGGCCATCGACATTAAACACAGGAGGAAATTGATTGTTTCATTTGCGTGCTGTGAAGGTGCACCCAGCCGGAGGGGGGGGGGGGGCTTGTGGTCTGGTGCCAATCGTTCCCGCTGGGTCACATGAAACTCTGCCCGTCTGTGGCGAAGGCTGAGGTCGCAACCAGGGGACAGGGGGAGAGTAGGGGGGGGGGGGGCATGGGAACTGTGGAGCTGTGGTTGTACGGTGCATGAGGCCGGGTGAGTGTGACCGCACTGGAAGCACACTGATGCGGATGGAGACGTCTGCTGCAGACAGACAGCCTGTAGTCACCACAGCTCCTGTCTGCAGTAAATTAAAGGGAATTAGGGGCCCCGCTCTGAAGATGATGACATCATCGTGTGACTCCTTGCAATAATAAAAAACAGAAAACCGTACTTGCATTTTAATGTGACACAGTAGATGTTTGTTTTCTGTGTGAATTAGCATAACAGGTTATGGCTATGGGGGGGGGGGGGGGCTGGCAACTTTACCCACAATGCCATGCCAGTCATTAGCGCAGGTTTCAATTTTGACTATTTCTGGGAGCACTTATTAGCCATGAGTGGAGCCACGCCCACCATGATCCAAACCACAGGGAGCGGCGCACATTGAATATCTCCACCGCTGCTTTAATCCCGTTAGTAACGGCAGGGCGCCGAGGCTGAACGCAGCTGTAACGCCTCAATTCAACACAGTCTCGCATCCGGCCGTAAAGTGTCGAACAATAATGAGAAGTTCAGTAAATGCCACATTAACAGCTTTGCTGCACTGTGATAATTGAAAAAAAATGAAAAGGCTGCTGTACTAAATACAAGTCAAACTTACCCTCCTCAGCAGATTTCATCTTCGTGTTTGCGCAGAGAGAAACGTCTGAGATCAAACAGCCGGGAGCGATCCCTAATCCATGTAGCGGAGTTTAGATATAGTCCACAGCTGTTGCTCGGGATCCTCTCTCGCTGTATCACCGCGAACAGACAACAAGAATTACAAATGACAAAAGCAGAAAAAGGGGTCTGTTACTACTTCAAAAAGAGTGATGAAAAAAAAAAAAAGTCGCATCCAAAATGGAAAAATCCAAAAGAGATGCGTCAAATGATTAAAAGTCAAATAAGATCATGTCTGATGCGGACGCGTTCTCTTACTAAAAGCTATTTTCGTCGCTATGTCTGACTCTGCGTTGGGGGGGATCCTGGCTCTGCTGGGTCGCCGTGACGCACTGCTCCGGCGCACGGAGGACTTCTGCGCTTTTTAAACTCGGGGATCACCTCGGCTGGCTGGCGCACCGCCCCCTCCCTCCGCACTCTGACGCATCTATACACGCCCGGCCACCAGATGGGTCCAGCGGAGGGATCCTCTCACTGTTGTTGCTTTTTTTTTTTTTTTTTTTTTTTAACAGAGGCGGAGGAGACCAATTAAGCGAAGCTGGCAGTGGAGCCCTGAAGAGATAAGTAAAATAAGGCTCGCCGCGGGAGAGACGAACCCAAACCTCCAGTGGTTGGAACAAACATCCTATAAAGCGCCTAGCTCGTGCAGCTGAGTATGAGCCCGGGAGAACATACAAACAGTGGGTTAAAAGGACAATCATGCATAAAACACCATGATTTGTTGGGTGACAGATGCTAAAAAGAAACTCAAACTATGTCCCCCTTGTCCCTGACTGACTTAATGAGCATTCATTTGAGTTTTCCACCCACTTTACCACTTTATCTACAGTATCTGTTCCCCTTGACTTCATTCACAGTGGAGTCATCAACATGCTGCTCCTGGAATCTCCTAAATCAAGATTTATGTGCATACTAGTCCTCACGAGTATTTTTACTTTTAACTGCTGCCATTTTCACCATGACGAAGCCATTCATCAGCTGGTTACAGCAGACGGATGCCCGGGTTGAAGGCCGTTGGGGTTTGTTTTTTTCAGATTGCAAGGACAGGTGAAAACATGCCAGAACACACAGCTCTAAATGCTGCACCATAAGACATACTGTATATGAAACATAACGCTTCCCTCAGATGTTCTGGATGGGCGTCTTGTTTGAAGCCATTGCAAAGGCTCTCCACTTCCTCCTGACAGACTGCACAGTCTGCGGGGCCACGGAACACATAATTATCCATACTTTCATGGAAGTGCTATATAAAAATCTAGCCATATATACCCAGTCATTTGACACGCCGAACTGAGAATCTTCATAAAGTTTTCCATAGGCCGCTCTCTGCGGGTTCGCTGTGTACTCATTCGGCTTCTTCTTTTTGCAAGCAGGGCTGCTGCTATCTTTGTCAGGTCTGGAGCTCTCAGCAGCTGGCAGCGGGGCCCGTGGTTTCTGGGATGACAACGGTCACATAGTGGCTCTCGAAGAGTCCGTCCACCCTTCTGGAGGTGGGGATACTATTAGTACTATAATACTATTAGTATTGTACTATTATAGGCACTGCAGCATCTTATCAGCTGGCCCTGGTTGGTGTGACCCTTAGAGGTGGTGGACACGGGGGGATGTGTCTTCATGTATAGGTCAGTGCGCATCTTTAAATTTATTTTGGGACATCCAATATATTCTTATGCACGTGTATTTGGAGATGCTAAACCTTGTTGCACACTGCTCTTGCATCCAACACATTAAAGATCTGAATGACAACAAAGGAAAAGACGGCAAGACTACGAGTCTACAGCTGTTTTAAGTGTCTTAACTTAAAGGCACCTTTCGTTGTTTCTGATTAGATAACAGTTTGACAAGTAAAAAGAAACACCAAGACTAAGAAACAAAGGAACAAAGTGTACAACATTAATTCCCCTTCTTTTCAACCCCTTATCGATACCCTGTACCTAAACCCCGAGTGTCCAACTGCACGACTTTCATCAAAGTAAAACTCTCATTCCCTCCTCCCTCTGTGATTTTAGTGACTGCTTGTAGAGAAACTGTCCCGGACACCAGCTCTTAATGCACATTCGTCTCCATTGTGCAACAACATGGCACGCATGCCCCAACATCCAAAGCAATATTTCCTCCTGACCCAGTGACGGCCCATGTGAAACCCTAGCCGTCTGTTTCATCATGGGTACTCGGTGGCTAAAAGGGGGGCACAACGGGGGATCGCCACTCCACAGTTATGTGTAACTGAGGCAGTAAACACTTCCACCCGGCTGCAGTTAATAAATAGCTCCGCTGCTGATTGACTCGTGGTCTCTTCTACGTCATGGCGGCACTGGGGCTCGTAGCTTTTCCAGCAAGGCCTGGCGCTGGTTAGCGGACACCTTGGTAACAGGCCACTACAGACCGGATGGATCCAGAGCCACAACTGTAAGAGGAGCACAGTAGATAATGAGAAACCACAGCAACTCCGTTTGATATCAACGAGCTGCTTTAACTACTGCTATGATAGTGAGTTAAGAGACGCTGAATTTATTCAATACTGGAGTTGTGTTTTAGTCTCATGTGTCAAGTATAAATCAAAGTCTCCAGTCAGTTGAGACAAGTCCACATCAAGTCCCGGGTCTCTGCCGGCTCAGCAACAAACAGACAAAGTTAGCAGCTAGCTAGTGAACTTTGTGGAGCATTTAGCAGCTAAAGAGACGGACATTTCCCTCAGAGGTTGGTGGAGACCAAAGTCAGAGCTAAATAAAAGTTATTGTTGGACTCACATTCCCCGGGTGTCCCCGAATAAAACCAAACTCCAAACGAATGCCAATGCTGCTCCGTGATTGCTCCATGTGTAAAGCAAACTGTGCAAACTTAAAACATGTGTTTGTTGGTGTGCTCTGTTGCACCTTTATACAGTAAATACGTTTAGTTCAGGTCCTTGATTAGGATCGGCTGAGCCACGTAAAATAATGTCAAATAATGTCAAATAATGCGCAGCTGTATCCGCGTCACAATTTCAGTATTACTCCACCAAAAGCGGACAAACTACTCCGTGTCGTGCCAAACAACCATGCTCGAGTAGCCACGCCCAACAGTGATGTCACGGCGTACTGAGACACCCCAGGGTGTACATGTCTACATCGCTGAAAGAAAGTGAGACATCGAAAAACAAGATTTTTAGCTGCTGTTAAGTTGCTCTTTAATACAAAGCCTGACTTTCCCCACACAGTAATGAGGGTTTAAGGCAGTGACACAAAGAGCAATTGTTTGGCAACTTGGATGGGCAGCAATGTACTGGCTCAGAGTTGTCACTTTAATCTTGTGCCCATGAAACAAGTGAACACTTTTAGCTTTTTATTATTGCCAAAGTGCATCGATATAACTAAAGGATGTATGACGGTTTGCCATGTGAAAATGTTTTAATCCCTGAATTTAAGCTGTGTTGACAGCGAGACCTTTCACTGTGAGCTACTGAGGACAACACAAAACACACAATTACATACTTTACACTGCACCCTTTGTGGTGCAATCCTTTTGGCCAATGAGTGACACAATCACATTGCTAATTTAATCAGACTGTAGATCATCTCGTGTCCAGGAAACATTTGAATACAGTCTTGTATCCCCACTTCTCAGGAGCATTGCCAAACTGCGTTTTTGCCTGGTGCGTATCATCACTTTTAGAGCGTGGGAGGGGGTGAAGCATCGGGGGTTTGGGGCTTGGTCTGACTGTCACAAACCCACACGTTGCCATCCCGTACTGCCAAACTCTGCGAGCACTCTGCCCGGTATGACGTGGTTTGGCCACGGCGAGGTGGAAAAGACCTCAACTCGCCTTTCTTTCCAAGTTCTATCCCTCAAAATCCAGTGCCTGGCTTTATTTGTGTCCGAACCAAAAACACGATGGAAAATTGGACAGCGTTGTAAGTTATTCATAAACTAAGAAACAACCCCAAAATGCTGGCTTTCCCAATGCTGAATCACCTGTTTGTTTTGGAAAAAAACGAATTGGAGGGAAACTGAAAAAAAGATATTACTGTACGCCTTTGTGTTTATTCGATCCCTGCTCACACACCCCTCTCACCATATGTGCACTCATAACTGCTATTTTATGAAGTGTTTCCTGATGTATAATAATAAAACATCGTAAATATTGTCCGTGACCACAAGTTGAGTACAGACTGTGCAGAGAAAATTGGTTTCAGGGGACATTGAGTAACTTCAAAGAGTCTTTGGCGCAGCCTCCAGTGACCCGAGGAGACACGAGAGATGAAGAACAAAAAGGTAGTCAAACAAAAATATGAGGTGTTACATATCACGCAAAAACACTTCATGACTCATGTGACTACTTGAAAATGAAATGTTGAGTTTTGGAGCTCAGACATCTGACCACCTGGTGATCTAATCTTTGAGTCACTGGTATTAATATATCTTATTTATATTAGTCAGTATGTGCTATCAGGGAGTAAATATCTTCTGTTTGCACCTTTATAAATGCCTGTTTATATCTATTAAGGTAATTCGACCTGTCAGAGAAGCGTTGACCCTCTCACCGCACCCCACCACCATCCCCGCTATTTCTTACAGTCAGACTTCCTGTCTCCCATCAATGTTCTCCTTTTTTTTTTCTCCGCCGCTGTGACGGAATCCCCTGCTCTGTTTCCTGTTGTGAAGGCCCGTTGCTTGGTCACGGCCGAGGGAGGAGTTTTTATAGACGAGGGAGCGTTCGCAGAAGGCCGGGAGGTTAATTTTCTCTCCCTAATGTCCCACAGCCGGCGTCAACTCAGGCACAACACTGAGCAACAGCCCCCCCCCCCCCCATATCAAGGCACACAGCACTTTACTATCTCTCAGCTGTTGGTCATGGCTGCACAGGCTCCACGTGCCCACGGCCGTTTCCATAAACCAAGAATGGAACTAGTGTAACTGCAGGGAAGTGTGGTCACCATAGACCAGTCTGTTGCTGTGATACACACTGAGGCAGGTCTGTGAAGCAGTCCGTCCACATGAGGAAGTTTGTCCCCACTACACGATCCCGCTCTGCAAATCATCCTTACAAGCATTGCAAGCAGTGTAAAGATACCTGTGGGTTCAGCTTTTTGAACATACTTCTTCACTCTGAACAGAAAAACAAGTTTATGTTCTTAGTGGAACTGACAAAAGGGTGCAAAAACAAAGACTCTACACAGAATATGTTTTGGTCAAAATAAAAGTAAAGTCACTAAGTACATCAATTACAGAAAAATAGGAGTTTATGGGTCAACAAACTATCATAGGTAAGAACATCCTAAGATCTTAATTGTTTGCTGATGAGGTGTTGTCGGGGAGATGTTTCAGTACTTAAGCAGTTGAAGTGTCAGCTGAAGCACTGAAAGGGTTTGAAGTGTTTGGTAAAGTGTGAGAGCCAAAAACAGTGCATTACATTGTATTACTGA